TGCTGGTCTGTACAGTGTACAGTGAAATATCTATCTCTGAAAGCGTTCGGAATAGGACACATGTACATACACTTTTTTGCTTCGAATAGCCTCAGAGAATATTGGTCTTACCTCCTGGGACATTCTGTACGCAGATATACGTACAATTAATTTGTGTCTAAAATATCTCAGAGGTTACGCTATCAGTCAGTGAGGTAGATAGTTACGTAATAATTAGGAAGTTCTACCTCCTTCAGCGTACGATAGGAACCAGAACGACCAGAACCGCCCTACCGGGGATCTCACTGAACACAATGGACGTTTTTTTCCGTAAGGTTACCTAAAGGGCCGTACGATGCTCTAGCAACCCTCAAGGCCAGGGGTGTCTTACAAATCTTTTTGGGCGCCTCCCCCTACCAGTTAGTCAACAAAGACAATAATAAAACAATACTGAAAGCTATAACGCGAGTCTAAATGTGCAGTAAACATTTGTGTTGCCAACGAGAGGAATGTGTCTGAATCTCTAACACACAGGATGCTATCCCGGTTCGGCATCCGATAACACTGCTCGCAGATCGAGCAGAAAACGCTGATGCGCAAAGATAAGCTGTCGCAAACGGCAGGAGAACACGAGTTGCCAGTTCTGTCACAATCGGATATTCGTTTTATGGCTCTTAGCCAAAAGTCACAGACATCTCTATTCAGACATACCAGCTGAAGAGTCAATTCGTTTGATGGTTTGTCTAGCTCTTCCTGAATAGTCAAGTGAGATATGTTGTGCTTTCCCTGAATCGTGTTTTGCGATATCCCAGTCTGCTGGAACATACGTCTCTGAGTTACGAAAGTGATTAGATGAGAAAGGATAACTTCTTTAATCCGTTTTATTCAACGAAATAAATTTTTCATGGCTACAACTTCTCGTTTCCAAATTGAAAGTTTCTTTGACAAGCGCAGTTAGTTTATCGTATAAAAGTAATTAGTATATTAGCATATTCAACTTTGGGAGATCTATTTAAATCACTGAGTTAAAAACAAAATACGTCAGGCAAGAAAGGTTGAATGGCCAATCTTCACCGTGCGCAGAAAGGGCTTGTATATCCCTATGAATCACGAAGTGTGTATTAAATTGCCTCAGTAGCATTATTCAGTTTCTCACTGACTCTACGAGTCCAGTTTTCTTTCCTGTCATCGCAGTAACACCATCTGTACGCACACGAACTCACGGATTCTGTGATAGTTCATTTCCTATGAAGAATCCACTTTTACGAACATGTCTTCACCCATAATTATTTCTTCCAGTCCCTGAAAAAGACTAATATGTCCTTCCAAAGTAGTAAGGCACATGCATAAGCTGCATAATTGGAAGTGTCTCTTGGTTTCCTGTGTTGAATTTCAAATCTGGAGCGGCTTTGAATTTTTTTAAGAACTGTATAGGCATATCATTATTATATTTCCATACTCCCTTACGGTCTATGTTGATGATGTGAAGCTACTGGGAGGCAAAATATACTATAAAGAGAAACACAGGAACTTTAATTGACCTAGTAAGGGGGCTGGTCTAGTAGTAAACACAGAGAAAAATAAGTATATGTTGCTGTCTCGCCGTCAGATTGCAAGGAAAAATCATGAAATAAAGATAGCTAACAAGTCCTTTGAAAATGTGGTACAGTTCAAATATTTGGGAACTACGGTAACTAATAGAAATTTGATTCAGGAGGAAATTAAGAGGAGACCGAACTCGGGTAATGTTTGCTACAATTCAGTCCAGAATCTTTGGTCTTCTTGCCTGCTGTCTAAAAACATAAAAATTAGAATATAAAAAACTTTCCCTGTGGTTCCGTATGGGTGTGAAATTTGGTCTCTGACACTAAGGGAAGTACAAAGACTGAGGGTGTTTGAGAACAGGGTGTTGAGGAGAACATTTGGACCGATGAGAGATGAAGTGACAGGAGGTTGGAGAAAATTGCATAATGAGGAGCTTCGTAACTTGTACCCTTTGCCAAATATACGTAATTAGAATGACCACATCAAGGAGGATGAGGTAGGCAGGGCATGTAGCATGAATGGGGGAGAAGAGGAATGCATGGAGAATATTGGTGGGAAAGCCAGATGGAAAGAGGCCACTGGGAAGACCAAGGCGTAGGTGGGTGGGCAATATTAAAATGGATCTTAGAGAGATAGGATGGGGTTGGTATGAGTTGGATTGATCTGGTTCAGGATAGGAACCAGTGGCAGGGCTCTTGTGAACACGGTAATGAACCTTCGGGTTCCAAAAAACGCAGGGAAGTTCTTGAGTAGCTGCACAACTGGTGGCTTCTCAAGAAGGGCTCAGCACCATGAAGTCTGTTATTTGCTTACTGACTCTCGTCTGATAGGGGTATGAACTTGATGAGGTTGTTTAGCTTTGGCGATTATGTATCACGTTGGTACTGCTGCGAGATGTTCTATAAGCACGTTTTGTTGGCAATCTTTTCAATTCCCTCTCAAAAACTTAGTAGGCTTGTTTTCAATTTTGCATGTTTTGAGGAAAACCTCTCTCCTTTAAGTTTTACAGACTTCTTATTATCATTTGCCAATATTTCGAAGCAAATCAATAACTGTGGGCATTACTTCCCGTCCATAGCGAAGTGAATGCACGTTTATTGTAGGATGCTTATAATTTCTCTTTTATCCCCTGCTGAATTTTTTCCAGCCGTGACAATTGACCGCCTCTGTGGTATAGTGTTCAGAGTTCCTGGCTACAGGTCCTGAGATCCTGGGTTCGATTCCCGGAGCTACCAGATTTTCTGAGAAGCAGAGGGTCAGGAACGGGGTCCACTCAACCTCGTGATGATAACTGAAGAGCTATTCCAAGGAAACAGCAACTCCGGTCTAGAAACCCGAAATTAACGGCCGTAGGAAACCTTTCCGCTGACCACGTGATACGGCACTAACTTCGCCGACAAGCGACGGTCGCTCGGTCTGTATAGTTCGCTTGCGGGCTACAGGCCACGGAGTTTGTTTTGTTTTTGTGACACTTTTAACAATAATATTAGATTTTCCTGTAGTGTCTATTGCTGAAGTATAGGCAGGACAATTGTATGACGTTACACGTCCACTGGAAATTGTGTTAGGTTCGCTGCTGTCGCCTTACAGGTCCTAGCAGCAGGTTCAGGAATAACCAGTCTGTCTATGGTGAAATATTTACTAAAAATTACGAAGGAGAATTAAAGCGAAGAATAATAGTCGCACTAACGAACGAACGCCCGGACTATCAGACGCACTAAGACACTATCCCACCATCAACAACTCTCCTGATACTCAACAAACCGCCCTTGTACACTGTACCGGATTCACAGACATCTTCTTGCAGGTTTGGGTTAATACCATTAGAAAGAATATTTTTCTCTATCCACAGCGTCCAAGACCGGCTGTGGGGCCCACCCAGCCTCCTATCCAATAGGTACCGGGGGTAAAGCGGCAGAGACGTGAAGCTAACCACTCACCTCCATGGCATAGTACAACTTTACCTTTACCTTATCAGTAAGGACCCAACAAATGTGGTGAAAAGTGTGGGAGGACATGAAGTCTACCGGAGGGAAGGTTACTGCAGATACCAGGCTAGCCTATACGGCCCGGTTTTACGGGAACTCAATTTAGGCCGTCATATTGCTAGCAAATATTCAGCGAAATTAAAGGAATCACAGTCGATGAAAGCAAGTAGTAATAACTAGACAAGTTATTGTTTTACGTATCTTTTTTTGCGCCACAAAATTAACTTTTCGTCCCCACAGTTTAAGAACCATTTAGTCTAGGCCTATACTCATCGGAACGCGGGGCATCTCTCGTTATGTGAAGAGGCGAATATGCAATAGTCTGGAGACCCACTGAGGCAGGAAGAGATGGTAAAAGATTGGGAAGGCGTTTCCTTAGCAACAGACGTCGACGCGTGCAATTCGGGGCTCAGGCACCAATGGGTTTGTGCACGACTGTAAACAAACGTCGCAGAATTTGGATTTTCTGATTAACTACGAGTTATCTACATTGGAGGCCTCCACAGCAAGGAGTTTAAATTTGGACACCTGTACAATACGCACGTAGTATCTACCTGAAACCAGGGACCCGTCTCAGAATTTATAAGAAGACAAAGGAAAATCATGAGAAGCCATATCAAGGTGGACGGACGCGTGACCTTGCGGGCACATATTGACCTTGAGCGAGTACATCGTGCTACTGGGGTCATGAACACAAGTTTGTTGGTTCTAGCAATACGAGACCGAACTTTCTGCTCATTCGTTGTCCAAAGTTGGTCCATGTAGGTTGCATGTGTTGGAATATTCGTCTTGTACCCCTCAATGTGATCCAAAGTACGGATTAGCCTTGACGCTTCTTCTGGACCGGATCCTTCGCAAAGCCTACCGACGGTCTACTCAAACATTGGACTTCATTAAACAATTTTAGCGCAGTATGCACACTTGCACCCCCTAAAACAGCTGCACAGCTTTGCAGCCAATATATAATATCCCGAAAATGGTTAGGCGCCTGAAACTGGATGAGCAAGCAAAAATATTTATTTATCTTTGGGCTGGGGTGCGTTCACACGACATAGCGCATAATGAATTTTCAAATGGTCACTTTTTAGAATGCTTTTGTGGCCGCCAAGTATGGTGGCTTCGGTATGATTTCTTCATGTACATTTTGGTACCTTCCTATGTTCCGCTGCGAGAGGTTGCAATGCCCAAAACCGACGCAATGTAAACAAGATGGGATCTTATTGCGGTAACCCTGAATTTCACTCCCGAATATATCAATCACAGGGTATAACTGTGTGGGCAGAATGAATGATGGCCCTAAAGCACGTGATGCATTTAGCAATCACAGTGCTGTAAAGTGTATAAACAAGATTATCCATTGACAATATTTACAGAATACAATGTCTTAGTAAAGTGATTCTCTGCCTCAAAGTTTTGATATAACTGCTCTTATATATTGTAACTATGATAAGACTTTTAACTTCCGCTGACAGAGATGGTCACGCGGCGACATATCCTTCTTTGATAAAAATATGTTGGATGCTGATTCCTTCACAACTGGCTGAACTTCAAGTGAGGACAATACGCCCTTCACCGAGTGTCCTGCTGTAAGTAACATGCTCTGACAATGTAGTTGATAACATTGCAGCATTTGCACGAACCAAAACATTTCGCTTTATTTTATACAATCAGGATATTAATTTTAACAAAAAAGGGTCCAAAATAGTTGCATGTTGCCAAAAAGTAAATATTTAAAATACAGAGAACAACAAATCCACTTTATGAGCGTGAACAAACAGAATAAAAATGGACAGTTTAATTAAATATTTTTACATTCGATCTACGTCATTAATTTTGATGATTATTTTTATTTCGTTTAATTAAGGATAGCTCAGTTGGTAGAGACGGGCTACGGGCTGCACGGCCGGGATTCTATTCCCAGTCGGGGCAAAAACATTTTTCCTATTCCACAGAGTTCAGACCGGCTCTGGGGACAACCCAGCCTCCTGAACAAGGGGTACCGGGGGTAAAACTGCAAGGGGCGTGAAGTTGACCACTCATCTTCATATATTGCCGAGATGAAGAATTGTGGAGCTATACATCCATTCCTCCCATAAGTTTTCATGGCACAATGCTTAATTAATTAAGCACAGGGACAAATTTGCCTTTAACTTCGCTATATTTGAATTCGATTCATCAACTACATGGTACACTGGGTACAGTGACACTGGTAGTTGTAAAATATTGTTTCCGTGGATATTAAAACTTGCATATGTTTGGAAGCATTTCGGGGTATGTTGTCCACATAGCTCTGAAGCAAGAATGGGCTACTTGACACATTTCTTCTTGTCAGTCTGTTAGTGTGTTATCAGCCTACTTTCCTAACTGGGAAAAGGGCCAGGGCTGCCACTCTGAGCCGCCGGCACTGCTCTAAGGTTCCTACCAAGGCCCTACTAAACTAAACTAAACTAAACTCCGTGGCTTGATTCCGCAAGAGAACTATACCGACCGAGTGACCGCCGCTTGTCGGAGGAGTTAGTGCCAACTTTAGCTGATAGAGAGTGTCGCGTGGTCAGTGTAACGAATCCCCATGGTAGTTAATTTCGGTTTTATAGACCGGAGTCGCTATTTTCTTGAAATAGCTCCTCGATTATCCTCACGAGGCTGAGTGGACCCCGTTCCAGACCCACTACTTCTCAGAAAATCTTATAGCGCCGGGACTCGAACCCAGAACCTCTGACCACTAGACCACAAAGGCGGTCACCAAGGCCCGAGACTTGACAGCCCGTGTTGTAGCTTCGGGAGCTGAAGTAGTGATACTGTCTCTTCAGCTCGTTGGCTCAACTGGTAACGCTTGTGACTTGCATTCGGTAGGTGGCCGGTTCAAATCTCGGCTGGGACACCAAATATCTTGAGTATTGCCTGGCAAATGAAGCTACGGTACCTTGAGTCAGGCCACATCTGTGTTCATTCATTTTTCTGCCACTGCCCAATGCTCTACGGTCTGAATGACTGACGTCGTTAAAAAAGTTGTCCTTCTGCTGAATTAATTAAGCATTAGGCCATGAAGACGTATGGGGGAGTGGATATATGGATCCACATTTTCTTTACCTCGGCACTACTTGGAGGTGAGTGGTCAACTTCACGCCCCGGCCGTTTTAACCCCGGTACCCATTGTATAGGAGGTTGGGTGGACCCTAGGGCTGGTCTGGAAGATACTGAGGTCGTTAAACAATTACAAAACAAAATCATTGCATTTAAATTGTTTCTTTGATATATTTGACCCTTTAAGGCAGTGTTAACTACGTGTACCACTTGCTTTAACTTTAATATGTGCGTCACGTGATTCTCATAACCTCGTCAAGACTGGTACGATCTATTTCTCTGTGTTAAATAAAGCCTGTGCTATATAAAATTCACTTGGACCCGGAGGACCAACTTCTTGTTTAATAATCGTTACAAAGACAGTGAGATGTGCCACATTGAAATCCGTTCTATCTCATCAACAACAGAACGATACATTTAAATTAATGACAAATAAGTAGCAGCCATTAAGCAGTTGGTCTCTATGATGTAGATTGCATTTTTGAATCTAATTTAGATGAACTGCAGACCTGAAATCGAGCAGAGTGGACAAGATGTCCTTATATCGTCAGATTACACGCAACGTTCCCGGCTGCAGAGCTTTCTGAACCCCTAATATGGGAAGAGACAAAAAGAAAAGCAAAGTTGTCCTTGTGCTTAATTAATTAAGCACCATGCCATTAAGACGTTTTGGGGATTAGGGGTATAGCACCACCATTCCTGACCTCGGCACTAGATGGAGGTGAGTGGTCACTTTCACGCCCCAGCCACTTTACTTTCGGGGAAAGAGCCCCCCACCATATCCATTGGATAGAAGGTTGGGTAGGCGTCAGAGCCGGTCTGGCAGCTGTGGGGTAGAGAACAATAATTTGTCCTTACCGGGAATCGAATCCCTGTCGTCCATCCCGTCCCTTGTCACCACGGTATGGCGTGTCCTCAGGTTGCGGATGGAGGAGACGCCCTCCGGGTATGGAGGGAAGCTGCGAATATATTGAATAAGCAGTCGCGGACAGCCGACAAGAGGTGGTCCTCCAACTTGTGGGTTGGGCGTGGGGCTAACAGCTCCTCACTGTAAAAAGTAAGGTTGTTACTATAAAATCTTCAAGAAGCCTCGGACCTGGAATGGGAACAATAATAACAAATCAAAACCCGATTCAGTAGGAAATTAAGAGGAGGCTGAACTCGGGTAATGCTTGTTACCATTCAGCCCAGAATATTTTGTCTTCTCGTCTGGTATCTAAAAACATAAAGTTAGAATATGCAGAACTATAATTTTGCCTGTGGTTCTGTATGGGCGTGAAACTTGGTCTCTGACTTTATGGGAGGAACAGAGATTGAGGGTGTTTGAGAACAGGGTGTTGAGGAGAATATTTGGACCAAAGAGAGATGAAGTGACAGGAGGTTGGAGAAAACTGCATAATGAGGAGCTTCATAACTTGTAGTCTTCTCCAAGTATAATTAAAATGATCAAGTCAAAGAGGATGAGATGGACAGGGCATGTAGCACGAATTGTGGAGAAGAGGAATGCATATAGAATATTGGTGGGAAATCCAGATGGAAAGAGACAACTGGGAAGACCAAGGCATAGGTGGATGGGCAATATTAAAATGGATCTAAGAGAGAGAGGATGAATTGAACTGGCTCAGGATAGGGACCAGTAGAGGGCTTATGATGTGCCGCCAGGAAGGCCGGAGGATAAGAAGTCAATCAGTGGTCAACGGNCAATCGTTGCCCTGGAAATGAAAGTCTAACAGTGGGGTTCCCACCATCACAATTTGTTTGAGGCAGACACGTATTCCCGCGGCAACATGAGATTCGTTGCATAGCAGAGACAGAAATTAACCCTTCGATAAGGTATTCCCTATTCAGTCCGAGTGCAGGATATAACAGTTTGTATCCAACAAGAGACAGTAAAATATGGTTGCGAGTCCCAAGGAACTCGGACCTGAGAAAGACTGCGCTGGTAAGGGCCAGCAGCATATGCAAAAGGCAGACCCATCCTCTCATCAGAGAGGGCGCCCCACAAAAATAAGACCGTAATTGTCAAACATTAATAATTAATATCTGGTCATGAGCCCTAGATGGGGCTCGACACCAAGACTTACTGATTGACTGACCGTCAGTCGTATTGTGACTTTGACTCTGACTTGAGACCAAAACAGTTGAGCTCCGAGCAGAGCAGAAGACACTTCACCGAGAGTGCAAGAGTGTAGAACACTGAAGAGGAAACATCTGAAGACGTTATAAGTGTGAATAATTGTATTCGTGAGTGTAAAGTGTGATCGTCCAAATCCAAGACATACATAAATTTTCATGTCGTGTTACCTAGGAAACACGCGACACGCTTGTGAACATGGTGATGAACAATGTTATATTTTAGTGTCCTGTTGCACTGATTTATGTCCATGATTTATTCTGACCGTCTTACAGCGCATACATTTATTCACATTACTCTTCTCTCTTGCACATGTTTCGGCACTAAAGTGCATCTTCAGGTGCTTTTCGACGTACATCGAAAAGCACCTGAAGTTGGCACTTTAGTGCCGAAATATGTAGTGCAAGAGAGAAGAGTAAGGTGAATAAATGTATGCCCTGTAAGACGGTCAGAATAAATCATGGACATGGTGATGAACCTTCAGGTTTCATAAAATGCTGGGAAACTTTTGAGTAGCTGCACAATTGGTGGCTTGTCACGAAGGTCTCAGTTCCATGAGAGACTGGGAATCGAACCCCTGCCATCCAGCCAGTCGCTACAGCAACAGAGGTACCCTGGTTCTGGAGACTGACATCAAATTCCTATTTTCAAAATTTTATTTCTGGATTAGAATATATTAATATTTCCATGTGTTCAAAAGTAGCCTCTTTAACCCTCCTACAAGCTATGAATGGAATGTCTCAAAAAGAAACACCAAGTTACTTCTGAATGATCCCTGGCAGTGTGAAGAAACATTTCTGTGTTGTGAATTATTACTGACTTCTCGTTGATACAAATTATGCAAGAAACACATATAGTAAGACACACTCTCCCAGCGTTTAAGATGTTAACTTGTATTCTAGCGATATATTATTGGTTTATTCTTGGGATAAAACAGGGATATTTAAGTTTATGCTTTAACCACTTTTCCTGATACACTCTTCAGGGATGGTAGATACTACAGTGCAAATGAATCTTAACAAGCAGAAACACCTGTTCTTCAACCAGGCCAGGTTGTTTTCCTTGTCAGCATGAGAGTTACTCAGCTATTCAAGAAATTGCCTATGTTAATGGAACCCAAAAGTTCATGAGAATCCACCACTGAAAGTTATCCTGTCTTACTCAATCCATCACTCTCACATCCATCTTCCCTAATACTGTTTTGCTAGTCTCCTCCAATATCCCAATTCTCTTCTTTCTTGCAGTTTCACAAGTTGTTAATGTATTTATAATTTCTTGCATGCATGCTACATGCCCTATCCATGTCAGAGGTCACCCAAGAAGGTTGCTTACAATGTTATTTTTAAGACACCAAAGACTAATTTACTGATTATCCTACAGTATTCAGGACAGAATAATAGATTTTAATTAATTTTTATTTTTGGTATTAATATGTCAATTCCTTCCTCTCCCCCTACAAATTCAGGGGGAGACAGATGTCTGAATCCCTTCCAGAAACGAAAAGAAGGTCATAATTATGCAAGTTTCACCATCCTCTCCATCACCATCATTGTCACTGTGTCTTTCTTAGTTCTAAATACTTTCACTTGTCGTTTGTTCCAGTTAAAATGGCAAGATGGGCGTGGCTTTTGCTGATTGTCTGCCTGTCTCCTACTGCAACTGCTTTGTGCCCATTGATGTGCCAGTGTTCCAGCAACTACACTGCTGTCTGTTCCTCTTTGAACCTAACCTCATTATCGTCTGGTGCCTTTCAGTTCTCAAGCAATCTCCTTGTCCTTCGCCTAGAAAGAAATTTTTTAAGTTCTCTCAGCGCCAATGTGTTCTCAACACTCACAAACTTGAAACGATTAGATTTGGATGAGAATACCCTAAAAGATCTTCCAGAGTCTTTGTTCACATCTCTGCATGAGTTACAGATTTTGTATTTGAATGACAACAGTTTGACAACTTTGCCAGGTAATGTTTTCAGAACACTTGAGAACTTGGTCATTCTCTGGTTGCACAATAATAAAATAGAATCTTTGCCATCAGAGATATTTGACTCACAGAAGAACCTTCAGACTCTGAGTCTTATGAAAAATGCTTTAAGGAAGTTGGACAAAGAATGGTTCAAACATCTGGGCAGTTTGGAATTTCTGGCCTTATCAAACAATCAGCTGGTTTCTATAGAGGAGGACACATTTTCTGCACTGGTCAGTTTAAGAAATCTTTCCCTCCATCACAATCAGATCATTTCAATACAGGATCATGCCTTTAGCAAACTGCCAAAATTGGAAATCTTGTGGCTCTATGACAACAGGCTTTCAGAAATAACTGACAACATTTTCAATGGAGCAACACCTATAAAATCCTTATCTCTGCATAATAACCAATTGAAGAAAATGAGCAGCAAGGCATTTGAGAGTCTTACAAGCCTGGAGCAGATATATCTTGATGGAAACTTGTTGACATCACTGGATTCTAAGCTATTGCAGTCTCAGAATAAGTTACGCATGCTTGAACTGCAAGACAACAAGCTGACCTCAGTGAACATCGAGCTTCTGAAACCTCTCGTCAGTCTTAGAACTTTCAATCTTTCAGGAAACCCACTGCTTTGTGACTGTACCTTATGGGATGCATGGCTGTGGTGGAGTGCACGTGCACTAAATCCACTTGCCACCTGTCAACTTCCAGAGATAAGCATAGGAGTCAGTATCAGACAGCAACTTCAGAACTTAGTCTGCAATTCAGAGAGAACTGGCAGAGTGCAGCCAGCTGTTTCTCAAACGCGTGTTCAAGCTGAAAGCAGTTGTGGTGTGAGGAATCTCACTGTTGGGTGCTTGATCATACTCATCATTATTTCTGCTATAATGATTGGTTCCTTCATTTATATTATAGGTCACAGAAAACACAGAGTACAGGAAATGTTACTCCCACTGGAGAGTAACAGTATCTGATATTTTATGTGAAAATATGCAAGAGTTGGAAAGAAGTATGACAGCTATCAGTGATCCCATGCTAGGTAACTTGAAAACTAAACGGTTTGACTCCCAACATATATACTACATCATGCAGCTGTGACGATCTCCTGAATGTAAACATGGCTCTGGTGAAGAACTGTTAAAAATAATATACGTAATATTTCCTTAAATATCTGGCAACGTCAAAATATAAAAAAATAATTGTTTGCAAGTGTATACATCACTTTTCACATACAACAATAAATAAATATGCTTTATATTAAATAACGCTCAATACTAATATAAGTTTTCAGGTGTTGAGATTGTGTTCTCCTGGGTTGTGAGGTGAGTACCAACGTTTCAGAGGAACATGATACCTCCATCTTCAGGGTTGTCTCTAGGACTAATGCAGCATTCTTACCACTTCCATGACAACACAGTATTACTATAAATCATCATCATCAATAGAAAATATTATCTGATAATATTGTTATGTAGAGATGTTGATGTCTTCTCATTAGAACGCAGGAGAAAATCGTGATATAAAGATAGCTAATAAAAATTTAAAATATGTTGAAGTTGAAATGCTTGAGAATAAAACCAACAAATTCAACTTTCATCCACAAAGAAAGTAACAGTACATTCAGTCCAGGGAATGCTTGCTGCAATTCAAATCAGAAACTATCATCATGTCTTCTATCTAAACATGTAAAAATTAAATGAAATACATATAACTGTAATTCAGTCTGTAGTTTTTAATGGGTGGGAAATCTGGTCACTCACATTAAGGAAACAACATAAATATGGGTGCCTGAGAGCAGGGTGCTAAGGAGAACATTTGGACCTAGCACGGAGGAAGTCATGGCAGGTTTGACAAAACTGCATAATGAACAGCTTCATAATTTGTACTCCTGACTAAATCCATGAGGATGAAATGAGTGAGGCTTGCAGTAGAATTGGAAATATCATATAATGTATGATATAACTCTGTCCCAAGTGCAAACTATATTTATAGGTCTTTCATTTTGTTCTTCTTTATACACTACATGTTTTGGCCCCAAACAGCCATCATCAGGTGTATACACTCACGTATTTGTTACACTGCACTTATTTATAACATTTAAAATTTAAAAACATAGGTCTTCCTGATTAGTACTTATAAAATCTTTGGTTCTAATTTTTAAATCCTTTTTTTTTTTTCTCTAAATTTTAAAATTTAAAAATGTCAGGGTTACTTGCCCTATGTCTATAGTGCTGCAGCGGCTTCTTCTTGTTTCTAGTACTGCATAGGTGTTATTCTGTGTAGTCTCCTTGTGTGCGTGCCGCTGCTTATCTTTACTACTACCGATGTTTTTAAATTTTAAATGTTATAAACAAGTGCAGTGTAACAGATATGTGAGTGTATACACCTGATGATGGCCGTTTGGGGCCTAAACATGTAGTGTATAAAGAAGAACAAAACGAAAGACCTATAAATATAGTTTGCACTTAGGACGGAGTTATATCATATATCGTATAAAGTGCAACAGGATGCTTAAATATAATATAGGAAATATCAGAAATGTGTACAACATTTTGGTTATGAAACCTAAAGCAAAGAGGCCTAGGCAAAGATGAAAGGATAATATTAAAACAGATTATAAATAAATATGGTGGGAAAATGGACCTGTGGGGCTCTTTTGTCATCGATGTGTGTAGTCTTTGTCATTACTCCGATGACAACCCACTTCTTCGGAACAGTTTGTTGGCCCTGAAAAGGACCGTGGCTGCTGAGATGATTGACCGGTGAGGTAGCGCGGCGCGCGCCGGTAAGGAGAAAGGCTAGTGAAAGGCGAGTGGAATGGCGTGTGGCCTGGCCGCAGTGCGGCCGTGGCTGGAGGTTGCTTGGTTGCCGTGCGGCAGCGTGAGTTAGAGGTTGCTTGATCGCAGCGCGGCAAATGGCGGAGGTTGCTGCTGGTGGTGAAAGGCTAGTCGTTGAGCGCGGTCGCAGGAGCCATGAGGCAGTGGCTACGCCAGAAGCGCAGTGAGTCGCACCGTAACACGACCACCGGCGAGTCCAGGCGCGGTGCCCCAGTGAGTCGGGTGTGAGAGTGCCGGAGAGCCGAGGCAGTCGTGCCTGGCGCAGCCTGCCGATGTCTCCGAAGACCGAGCGCTGGCGACGAAGCCTACTGCCTGAAGTTGCTTGATGTTGCTAGCTCGTAGGCTGATGATGAACTGAACTGAACTGGATAACTCGACTCTGGAGTCGCTCCTTTTTATACGCTGGTCGGTGGGGCGGAGCCAAACTCGAAAGTGAGGAGCAAGAATTGATTGGCTAGCGCGCGTAATGGTGTAGACGCGGGCTAGCGCCGAGCGTAGTATAAATGCGATCGTTTGAAGCAATCTGATTGGTTAGTGCGTGTGATGGTGAAGAGATGTGAAGAGCGAGCGTTGCAGAAATGCGTGATAACTGGGGCTCGACACCAAGACTGACAGACTGACTGACCGTCAGTTGCAATGTGACTCAGACTCAGACTCAGACTCAGATGCGTGATAATGTGGGATGTTCCCACAGACCAGATTGATTTGGCTCTGGAAAGGAACTAGTGGCAGTCTCTATAACAGGTGGGTAATTTCTTGACTAGCTGAGTGACTGTTAGCTTCTCAAGAAGGATTCTGCATCTTGAAGTTGGTATCACGATACGAAGAATGCTTACATGCATAGTGGAGACAATACACAGTGTAAATGGAACCATCTTGCCTTTTGTGTGTATGTAATTTACAATTTTAAACTGATGGATGTCAAACTAATTACAAATTATATTGAACCTTTCCCCTATTTGAGGCAACTCATTGTAATGCCCTAACATCAAAAGCACTGGGCTTTGAGTTCATAAAGAAAATAAAATTAATAATTAACTGTTACTACACTGAAAGTCAATCTCATGGAGGCAGGAATAGTTCCAGTTAATGTACAGTACATGTGCATCAGTCTGAATAAAAATCAGCAACTGCCTGAAACCTTTCTGGATTCAGCCATTCACTGGTTCCAGGCCTTATAATCTACTGTAAATTAAAGAGTGGCTGTGGGCACAGTGCCAGCATACAGGCCTTGTGCTCTCTACAACAACTGCCTTGCTTTCTAGCATTCCTATTCAGTCAGCTATAACAACAGCGAAACTGCAACATAATTCCCCTTGAACATAGCAACTGTACTGTATGGTGAAACAGAACAGCTGCAGCATAGGACACAACTAAGCCTGGAAGCTGAAGTTACACAATTCATCACAAAATGGAGGTTATTTACAATACAGGAGATGCTAAGAAACATCATCTCGGATACCAAAGACATATGAGTCAGCATAGTGATTATGCTATGAGGTGGATAGCCAACGAAATTGTGGTTTGATTCCCAGAAGGACAGGGATTTTCTCTTTGCAGTATCCAGAGTGGATCTGGATCCCACCCAGCATCCTAATCAATGGATTTGGGTGCTGGTGTATGAAACTCACCACTCAATTCAAGTGCTAGGTTAAGAACATGTGGTGCTTCACTAAGTAGGGAGAGTATATAACCTTCTGCTGGTTTGGATACATTGCCCACACCCTTCAAACAGATACCTGCTCACACAATCCACCTATTTCTCAGATATATGGGACATTTGATTCATATTTTTTCTTAGTTCTTTCTCTGTATGTAGATTGGTTCAATTTCTTTTAAATATCACGACAAAATATATTCGTAGATGATATGACCACAAACCATGTCTTGAAACCAAACATTCTGCTCAAGGTTTGTGTGAAATATTTGGCAGTATGTGTTGTTGGCAATGTATCTAGGGGCCCCTTGTCTCTCTCAGCTGGGCACCATATTAGCATAATGACCCACCACTACAGAGAACCATTCCATATGTTTCCTTCTACACTGCAGCTGACCCCAAACAACAGCAGACATAAAAGCTACTAGAAACAATCCTCCACAAAGGAAATAAACACAAATTCTGCATAATAACCTTAAGATCCGACCACCACTAGAGCAGCTTCAAAACATCCAAAACCATGCCTCATATGAATCTCTTCTTTGTAGTGTTTTAATATAATGTTTAAATCTTAATTTAAAATCTAAAGTATGTTTAGTGTTTTGCTGAATCCATCTAACTGTAACTGGCTAAGGAAATGTTTGTACTAGCACTGTAGTTTATATGTAGTCTGTATTTCCTCAAGAATCGCCTGATGACGGCCTATCTCTGCTGAAAAATGTTTCAAACTGATAGATTTTTATATGTCTCTCTGTCAGTTGCCTGGAAAAGAGATGCAGTATCTGCCTTATACATGTATTAGGTTTGACTTTTTCTGCATAAAACACAGTAAAAGGGGGTAAGATATGTTCCACTCTGATGCCATAAAGTTTAATTAGCCAACTATTCCACTTGAACAGAAGTGGGTTTTGGGTAACTCAATTACACAGTTTTAGAACCTGTGGCCCCCAAACACATGTTGTTATTGGTGGGAGGGGGGGAGCATTTTGTACCTTTATGTAACTAAGTGTATACTATGCAATTAGCCCAGATACACAGACTAAGAAAAATAGGAAAGATTTTTTTTAGATGTTTAGGAAATCTGTGCTTGCCTCTTCTCAAGGGAAGTACTGAAAACAATCCAGAAACAAAGTGTTTCATCACCTGCTCCACTGATAACAGTTTCACCTCTTGGAGACATGGCAAGATACAGGACCCTAAATGAGCTTGTTGGCTTCACAATGTGTCTCAGGCTCAGAAAACTCCATATGGAGATATGGTTTTGCATGTACCCCTCTAGGACAACTGCAACAGAGTTTATGTTGAGCTGAAAAAATCCTTGTATCATCTGAGGATGGAATTACCATACTTTGCACCATTTCAATGATAATCCTGACATTAACCCTATCTATCCCATCCTTTTTATATTTCCAACCTCATTTCTATTAGCTAAAACTAATTAACAGAAACTTTTAGTACTGGAAAATAAAAAACCCCTGCCATTTGTTGTTCTCATATTGAAACTGCTGGAAGAGATGTCAAAGAATGTATACAGCAAAAATGCAAGAAACTAGCAGAAGCTTAGGCCACTGAATTTGTTCAGACTCTGTTTCTTTGAAATCCACTTTAATATTACAATTTTTGTCTAAGTCTCCAAAATAGTACCATGTGTTGAGATATTCTGACTGAAAGTCTGCATATGTTTATCTAGCAGGTGTGCTACATGTCTTGTCAACTACATCACCCTTGATTTAGTCATTCTAAAAACATCTGATAGAAGAATATTATAAAGTATGAAACCTCTGATTATGCAAATTCCTCCAGACTCTGGTACTTACTCCATCTTAGGTCTGAATATTCTCTTCAGCACCTTAACACCTTAGCACCTTATTCCTAAGTAGAGCACATCACAGAACAGAATCTGTATTACATATCAGCAATACTGATACTCTCAAATCAGTTTATTTGGTCTCCTTTCACTCTATAATGAAAACATGGAACGATTTTCTGGTATAATTCATCTAACAGCAGAGAGATATTTATATTACAATAGAAAACTGTTAGATCATGGTCGGTATCAAACCTAGAAATTCATGCAGAGGTCTGTTTCCAGAACTGACCTCTTCCATGTGAATATACATTTTCAGTAATCAACTCCATCATACATAACCGAGAATATGTTCGGACTTACTCAACTATACATAGTATTAACACAAGGAACAAGCACCATCTTCATAGACAAAACGGCAAACCCCTCATATTCTCATACCATGTTGGCATCAGAATTTTTCACGGTCTGCTGTTGAGTCTAAAAAGTTTTATAAATGAAAGGGCACAATTTAAAGTAGAACTAAAAAGATACTTGAAAGCATGCTCATTCTATTATGGTGAAGACTACAAAGTGACTCACAATCTAATTAAAATTTATATAAATAATGTAAGTGAAAAATACATTAATGTAGACCTTATGTGAAACCTCTGTATATTTTATACATTCATTTTTAATGTGAAAGTTTCCAGTTTCTGAAACGTTGTGTTCTCTTCCTTTTCGAATACTGGATGATGGACAAAGTTAAGAAACCCAGTAATTCTGAAGATTATTTTACATGCACTAATACATTTGTTTTATACTATGTAATCAAAACATGCTTTCAAGATTAAAGAGAAACACTTTACAACAAAACCAAAACAAATTGTTACATTGCATCATTCGCATTCTGTTGGCATTTCTTCTGGAAGTTCTCTGGCTGCTCCCCACTGCTGGAACTTATCACCCACACTTTGCCCCACAATGCTTTCAGTACCCTCTTTTCCTGCACCCCACTTGTAATGGGAACCATCTCCTCTACGCTGTACCAACTTACGGATGAGTTCTGACGATGGAGTCTTCAGGTCATAAGCCCACCCAATTCTCGAGAACATTTCTATAAGATAAGTTGTCCAATTTATTGTGGTGGGACCGAGTTCTGCAGCTTTGTAGTCCCATGGAATGGCATGATGATAATTGTGCCAGCCTTCTCCAGCTGTCAGCCAAGTTACAAGTATGTTCTCTGTAGGACTAATTTCTCTGTAAGATAAAAGTTGCTTATAGAGATTTGTACATCATACACACATGGACATATAATTGGCACTTCCAGTACACTTACTCTACAAAGGTTTGTGTCTTGCATAATAATTTTGGCCTTAAATTACTGCAGAAATATACATTGTACTGCATGTAAGATACGAGGTCCTCACTGAAGCAAATATTAAGATGATGGTCCTCTGGAATATGTAGCATTTTGTAGGTGACACATATTTCAAAAGACTGTATATCATTAACATTACTACAATGTTCATACCTGTGCTAATAAATGTACATATATCTCACTGCACAGTCAAAATTATTTTTATTTCTTTAAATTTTCAATTAATCGCTTAACGTTTCAAACAGACTTTGTACAGAACAAAAAATCTACATCAACAACTTCTACAGTGAGCTCTCTCAGAGAAAGCTAATAAATTTGGTTTGGGTTCCATGGACTGATGCAGACCCAAACTATATCTCTTGCTGGGGCTGAAATTCTCACTCCAAAGAGTGACGAGTCTTATATTCTGGTTTGGAATGGAAACAGACACAAACTTACAGAGCTGGAGAGACAAATTTCCACACAACTATTCTCAACACCACACCTTCACCCTTACTTCCACTTTCAGACCTATACATTAGACCATGTCCCATCACACTGCACAGCACAGTGCTGTTACTTCCAATGTTAGACCTATGCTTTGTTTGGCACCCTTCTTCTGCGTCATTCACCTTGACAGTGGTGACAGAAACGTGTGGCAAAACAATGGAACAACTTCAACACATGATGAAAGTAAAGCCCTAAAGCCAAATTTGTATAACAACAGGTGTGTGTCACACAACACAATTCCCATTTCGTTTCAATAAGCAATGAACCGATGAAATCATACAGGTATGAATCTACACTGATTTACTGGCCTGTATCTTAAACATACAGGAGGTACACAGTAGCGTAGTTGGTCGGGGCACTATGCTACAAGCTGGAAGGTCGTGGGTTCGAGTCCCAGTGAGGTGGATTTTTTTAATTTACCTAATCCTTCCAGCTGCACTATGACCCTGGGGGTTGACTCAGCCTCCAACAGAAATGAGTACCTAGTATCTTCCTGGGGTAAAGGGCAGCCGGCACGTAAGTCCGACTTCCTTACTGCCATCGGTGAGCTGATTGTCTAGAGAAAATGTGGGAGCCTCAACATCTCACAACCTTGTGGGCCTTCACGGCCTGTTACAAGGATAGCTTTCATCATAAACATACCCTATAAATTACACATGGAACTTTTTATGTGTTAACAATTACAAATACGAGAACAGTGTAACACTTTGCATTTATGTTTGACAAATGTAACATAGCAGAATCAGTATCAGTGGAACTCGTGCATAAAAATGGAACACTAAATTATATATATATATATATACATACACACACACACACAGTGTGTCCAGGTTCTGTTAGGACTGTGTTCATTAAAAATACAAGATGTGAATTATCTTCACACATTCACTCTTTTTATTCAAAATAGTCTCCTTCTGAATCAGGACATAGCTGGAATAGATTGAAAAGTTTTCGAAAACAGTCACTGTACTCCTTTTGCGGAATCGCATTTAAAACTGCGGTACATTACATTTGGATGTTCTGGATGGTGTCGTGACAGTCTCCTTTCATTGCCAACTTAATTTCTGGGAACAACCAGAAATCTGCTGGAGCCAAATCTGGGGAATATGAGGATGATCAAGGACTGTGATCTCTTTTCTGGCCAGAAGAAAATCTTGCATGATCTTCGATTTGTGGAGTGGGGCACTGTCATGCAGGAGTGACCAGAATCCTTGCTCTTGATATTGAGGTCTAATTCGAAGAATTCTCGCCCACAAACGATTGAGGACTCTGAGATAATAATCAGAATTCACTGTTTGACCTTCTGGCAGAAATTTCTTGTGAATGATTCCTTTGGAATCAAAGAAAACGGTTAGCAGTGTCTTTACTTGACTCTTTTGCATGCACACTTCTTTGGTTTCGGCTTCTTTGGGCTCAACCACGCTGCACTCTGCCGCTTTGTGAGAGGCTCATATTGAAAACACCATGTCTCGTCACCAGTAACAATCGATTTTGTAAATTTTGTATTGCTTTGAGCCGACCGTAACATGTCATTGCAGCGTTCCACTCTGGCATGTTTTTCATCGCCAGACAGCACGTGCAGTACAACATGCGCATAACCTTCCGTTTGCCCAAATCCTCAGTCAAATTTGATGCACAGTACTTTTTGGTATTCCCAAAAGCTCCTCGATAAGTCTTGCAGAAACAGGTCTGTCTGATGCAAGGATTTCGGTCACTTTTTTTCACATTTTCTTCAGTGCAACTTGTTCTCGGCCTTGATGCACGTGGAGCGTCTTCAGTGTCCTCCCTGCCATCACAAAATACAGCATACCATCGAAAAATGTTCGAGACACTCAAACAATCACTACCGTACACACTTTTCATCATTTTGTATGCTTCTCCGGCTGTTTTGCCTAACTTCAAACAAAATTTGATCTTGGCTCTCTGTTCAACTGCCATTTTCCGATGAGCATCAGAACACATGATGCAGCGATGCTTGCGCTTTGAAATAATAGACAGCCACAGCTGAAACTTCAAGAATGTTAACGCCACAACTCGCCAACAGTGGCACTGTAGGGCAAAATAAAAAAATAATTAAAAAAAAAAAAGAGTTCTAACGGATTCTGACACACTGTGTGTGTGTGTGTGTTATTTCTTGCCGAACAGAGAACATCTGAAGGACAAGGGTCCTCAGTTGCTCGCAGCACCTCTATTTAATTGGACCATGAGTCACTCACCTGTCGTAGGGCTTTCCGCCCCAAATGTGCGCCAGGCTATTTACTGACCAGGCAGCATTCAAAAGAAGAACGTAACGTACAATTCCAATACCCATGGCAGAGTTGTACCAGCCTTCACCCCAGAGAAGCGGTGGAACAACCACAGGGATAAAGAAGCACAACAATAACTTCAACAGTGAAAAATACCTGTAATAAATATAAAATACCAGTGTATGAATCATTGCAAGTAGAGAGAGCAAACTGTCAGGTAATATAATTCAGATTTGATGAAGGGACAGTTACACATCTGAATAAATGTCAATTACTAATGTGTGATTTTCGATGTTCTAAAAGACAACCATGTAAAACTGTAACAATTGCATATATTAAATTGTATAAATTGAATGTACAGAATAGCTGCAAAGCTATGTGGAATGTTGATGTTCAATAGTTGGATGGCCCTCAAAAGAACAGTTTGTTCCACCATGAGTGCGCTGGCAGAATTTGCTCCCTTGTAGTAGAACAAGTCTTTACGGCCATTCAACTGGTTTGTCTGGCCGGTGATTTGGTGCTGCGTGCGCCGGTAGGAACAGCTGCCTATGGTGCATATGATGACTGAACCGTTGTTTCGGCTCGGTTGCTGGAGAGCTGTGGCAGCTACGTTAGCTGTCTGGTAGCAGAACGTGGTTGCTGGAGAGTTGCGGTAGCTGTCTTTGGGGCAGTAAACAGCTGATGACTCTGATGACTGAATGCAATCACTGATGATTGCGAATCAGAGTCAGAGTCATGTTGCAACTGACGGTCAGTCAGTCTGTCTGTCTTGGTGTCAAGCCCCAGCTGGGGCTCATGACCAGATATTTCTTTTGAAAGAAAGTTACTGTCTTGTCTATGTGGGGCGCCCTCTCTGATGTGAGGTCAGGTCTGTCATTTGTCAGTCAGTCTGTATTAATAAGTCCACTGTCTCTATTTACACACATTTACATATACATACTTATTCCTTACTTCAATGTACAATATATACAATGCCTCTGTTAGCATCACAACACATCATTCAGAACACCAACCAGTGAACAGGGTCTAGAAACTGACTGACACTAAATGCACAGTTCATGTAATATATTTCACAAGGGTAAATTTATTATATATGATTAACGCACTGACTCCATGATCCTGAGATGAAGTTGAAATTTACCCAGTTGATAAAGAAATTCAAGTTATAACATAATTACTTCCCTCTGAGAGCCTTTCCAGTTCATTTTTCACTGCTCACTGCATGGCTTGGCACTATGCAGTCTGAGATAGTGACAGCAGTAAATAAACGACAGATAAATAGATTAACAAATGTGTGCATATGTGTATCTGTTTCAGCTCAAAATGTACTGCATTCATCAGATAAACTGATGCCTCACTTGAGGGACTCTGCTGCAGAACGGGTATGTGTTTCTCTGTCTTACTGTCTTAGGAAGAACACAAAGTACAGTCAGTAAATCAAGTAACAGTACAGATGGGGTTGTGGGTTAATGTTTCCTGTTAGGTGGTACAGCTGTGATACCATATTGATATTATTATTATTATTATTATTATTATTATTATTATTATTATTATTATTATTATTATTATTATTATTATTATTATTTTTTNCAGAGAAATACGAACAACTGCAACAAATACAACAACAATTACAGAGAGAGAGAGAAAAAATACAACACCCAAAACACAAACAAAAGGAAACCAACAGTCATGGATGCATAATGTCATTTACTTCACTTCACTTCACTTCACTTCACTTCACTGCAATTTTTTTCTTTTTAATTATTTTGACCCCAACTTCACTTCGCCTCATTTATCACTTTCCTAATCCTTTGCCTAAAATTGCTTGGTTTACAGGACAGAGTACCTAAAGCATCTGCAGGTAGTTCATTCCAGAGCTGTATGGTCCTATTTACAAAGGAGTATTTCCCGATATCTGTCCGTTGCTTTCTACCCATAATTTTCTTGCCATGATCACCCTTGCTCAGATAGCATGGTGTTTCTAATCTGTCACCTATAGCCTTCCATATGCTCTCCACAGCAGAACCCAGCTTCAAGAGAACTATTGAGGACCCAGGAGAAATTGCAGATGCCTTCAATACATTTTTTCTAACAATTACAGAAAATCTAAACTTGTGTCAGGAAGTGGGAGATAATGTTATTTAATTTTTAAGAGAGGCATTTCCTAGAAAATTCCCTGGTATTAAAACCATTCCAACCACTGAAACTGAAATAAAAAGTATAATACATTCCCTCAAAACAAAAAAACTCTTCAGGTTATGATGGAATAACAAGTAAAATTTTAAAAGTTTGTGCATCTCTAATCAGTAACCCATTAACTCACATCTGTAATCACTCACTTTCCTGATCATCTTAAGATTTCAGTAGTAAGACCACTATATAAAAAAAGGGGACAAGATTAGTATGTCAAATTACAGGCCAATTTCACTGCTAACTACTTTGTCCAAAGTACTTCAAAAAGTTATGCACAATAGGTTAAGCCATTATTTTCAGAGTAACAATATACTAGTCCCAGAACAGTCTGGCTTTTGGAAAGGAATTTCCATTGAAAATGTAGCCTTTAAGTTAACAGACAGTGTGTTGAAATCTATTAATCAAAAATTGTATGTTGGTGGAATATTCTATGACTTGGCAAAGGTTTTTTGACTATGTAAATCATGAAATTTTATTAACTAAATTACATTTTTTTTGGCATTCAAGGAACAGTGTTAAGTTGGTTCAGAACCCACCTAGCAGAAAACAAAAGATTGAAATAAAATCATCAAATTCAATCCGAAGTACCTACTCATACTGGGGAATAATAAAACATGGAGTTCCACAGGGGTCAATTTTGGGGCCTTTGCTTTTCATAATTTATAAAAACGACCTCCCTCCTACACTAAGGACCTCATCAATACCTATAATATTCGTAGATGACACTAGTGTTATAATTTCTCATAAAGATTTAGATGATTTCTGCATGTTATCAAGCAAATGTTCTTTCTCAAATGGGTAAATGGTTTTCTGCAAACAAGCTGTCCCTGATCCTAGAAAAACAGATGTAATAAAATGTATAACAAAAACTCACCACAATATCCATTAAACATAGGATATAATGATAAATATATAGAAGAGGGAGTAAACACAATATTCCTTGGCTTGCAAATTTATAATCATTTAAACTGCAAAAACCATATAGATCAGTTGATTCCAAAGCTAAGTAGAACATGTTATGCTGTTAGATTCATGTTACATATTAGTAACACTGACACACTCAAATCAATCTATTTTGTTTACTTTCACTCTTTGATTAAGTATGGAATAATCTTCTGGGGTAATTCATCTGACAGTAAAAAGGTATTTACATTGCAAAAGAAAATTGTTAGAATCATGATGGATGTCAAATCCCGCAATTCCTGTAGAGATCTATTTAAGAGACTACAGATCTTAACTTTTCCTTGTGAATATATATATTCATTAATAAACTTCATTACCAATAACGAAGAACATTTTCAGACGAATGCGGATGTACACAGTGGTAACACAAGACACAAACACTGTCTTCATAAACCAATTGCTAACCTCTCATGCTTTCAGAAAAGCCCATATTATGCTGGGATCAACATTTTTAATAACCTGCCACCTGATCTCAAAGGTCTTATGAATGAAAAGTCACGATTTAAAACAGCACTGAAACGGTACTCAATACACTCATTCTATTCTGTTGATGAATATCTATTGTCTAGAAAATAACTTATGTATCTTTAAATAGTCTTGTGTGTAGTCACTGTGTATTCTTGGTTTCTCTTGTGCGAGAACTCCATTGGGACTGTACATATGTTTTGTATTTATATGACATTCCACATCCCACAGTCGTTTTGACTAACTTTGGATCCATGGAATGCAATGCAATGCAGTGTAATGTAATGTAATATAATGAGAGTGACTGTATTTATGACTTGATTTCGTGTCCTGATCCAAGATGGTGGGTTGGCTGAATTTTGTTGGCCAAGCTCAGTTATAATAATTCAGCGATGATGACTGTCCGTTCACTACCTGAGAATTTATTCCGACCACAGGGAGCAAATATTCACTACAGAACATAGAGTATTTATCAAACTGTGTGTATATTACATATAAAGTTGGCAGACGTAGGTCTGGCCAGCAGCCTCTTAGCAACAACCAGACAAAATGCATCAGTCAACTTTAGTCATCTGGTTCTTATACAATTCTTATCTAATGTTACAGCACAATCTTCCAGACCATGAACCCTTAGAGAGCAGCAAGTTATACCAAAGTTAGGGAAAGTGATTAATTAGTTCCAGACGTTGAAATAACTCAAAGACTCAGCTGATTTATGAAAATAACAGTTTCAGATATTGCATTTTTAAGCTGAGGCAGGTTACTTAACCTCTTGACATGCTACAGAAGACATCAAACTGATGAATCATAAAACTACAGGGGTTGGACAAGCCTCCAGCACCTGCAATATGCTTACTTTTTGTGAAATCTGACCAATGGGTCAGCCAGTACATCACTCATATCAACTTGTCGGCCCCGCCTCAGGACCTCGGGGTGTTTCTTCTGCATGAGCCAGCCAACGTGAGAGAAAAAGAACCCACGGTTCGCATTGTGTGGGTCGGCATCTGTCTCGCTGAACTTGTGGTGGATCCTGTGATCTCTCACCCAATCAAACACTGAATTCTGCAACGATTCACTTTATACTTAAGGGTTTATATAGTTTACTACATCGACAACTACTTACTCTATAACACTAGCTGGGTCACAGGGTGGTTGGTCACCTATCACATTACATGACATGATAATGTATATTTTAATGCTGTCTTCAGAACAAAAAACTTGAAGTTTTCACAGCAATATATTGTAGTCTTCTGTGTCATGAGATTGTGTAAACGTTTAAAGCTATCCCTCTAACAGGCCATGGAGACCCATAGGGTTGTGAGATGTTGAGGGTCCCACATTATCAAGACAGTTGGCTCACAGATGGTGGTGAAGTTGTGTAACCGTCCCCGTTTTTCTTCTTTGTACTTATGTGCCAGCTTCAGTAGACCACTTGTCTCCTAACAGGTTTGTGTTACGGTAATAACTGAGGAAACTGCAAACTGCACACTCAAACCAAGTCCACTGCTCGAAATCAACAACACAACATCCACTATCCACAAATTATTTATTTCAGAAGCAAAATATTATTACTTCATTGCAAGCACGGAGTATCAAAGATTTATCAAACCAAAGTGAAGAACTGATGAATTTAGATAAATATGAGGAGTGCAGCCCAATTACATCTGCCTCTTGGTGAATTAATTAAAAACGCCAAGGTTTGAAGACTGGTATCCTGCGGGAGCATCACTTCATCGCATGCGAAGGATTTGAATCGACGGCCTCTCTCCCAGACAAGAACAGTTTCCAACTGGCTGATTTTAACTAGCAAAATTCATCATGCAATCAGCACAAGCCAATCACATAACGAACTTTGAGAATAAACAGTTCCCAAGATATAGAACCCGGAACCCCACATGTGAAAACGGTTATTTTTAGTTTAGGGTCCAATTACACTTTTATGACAGCTACACTTGTCAGCAAAACAAAATTTACATCTTTGGCAAACTACAGACTTGCCTCCCATGGTGGCCTTGTCCCCTTCCAGCCACCCAAGCTGCAGGTAACAAAACAAGGCAGTTGTTTCTGTCCAGATGCGAAAAGCAAGTCATAACATGCTAATAAATCAGCCTCCCCAAAAAAACAGTCACCCTTCTAAAATGGCTAAAGAGGACCATAGCGTCCCATGGAGAATTATAAAAGGTTTGGACTGTCACAATTGTCAGCCTTATGCACCGGCCATCCTTTATCCCACAGGAAGTTTCCTGATACTCATTGCAATTAGAGGCTAAGTCCACTCCAGGGCCAGAGTGCAGCTGGAAGGAATATGCGAATTGAAATAATTCACTTCATCCGGACTCGAACCTCCGACTTTCCAGCTTATAGCATAGTGTCTCAACCAGCTACATTAGCACATACCTCTATGACATTTACGGCACGTAAAAGAACCTCATATCTCCAAAGGAGATCACTGAGCCAAATTAACGGACGTTTCCCACCCAACAGCAGTCTCTAATACCTCTGGTAGATGGGGGAAGCATTATAGATATGTCTCAGGTAGTAGAGCCGGTCTCACTGTCTGGGCGGGACTGATGGTAAGCACCAGTACCAGTAGGATATAGAAACTGGTAGAAATCATAGAGGGAAGCACAATGGACCAATACAGGTCTCAGTGCATGGGGAAACCCACCCTCTCCAATAACTGGTTAACTAACTAACTACCTCTATGACATTGTGTAGCCTGGTAAATAGGTACAAAAGTGCTGGAGGAATATATCTGTGGGTTTTTCCAGTGTCCATAGAATACCAAATATTGTAACACAGAAGATTACCACTGAACACTCCTTAGAAACTGCTATTGACAATGATGGAACTGCATACAGTTGAGCAAAGTTCCCATCAATTGTCTTGATCCACATGTTACGCTATAATCAGAATGGCCAGTTTGATCACTGTGTACACTCATCTGCAAGAAGCAGGGCTATACTGTTGGCTCATCAATTCACATTTCAACTTTTCCATGCTATTAACAAGATATCTTGATTAGAAACATACATTTTATTTACTCAAAATATTTAGATTTCATTGTGTCTGTTAAACAAACCTCCTCTGTCATATCTTACTCTTAAAATATTATATTTTGAGGTATATTTTATACTTTATTATAACTGAGCACATGTGAGCATAGTTGGTTCAGGCAATATGGTACAAGCCAGAAGGCCGCAGGTTTGATTCCCAATGATGTCGGTGGGTTCTTCAATTGACCTAATCCTTTCAGCCACACTATTGCCCTGAGGTCAACTCAGCCTCAAACAAAAATTGGTACGGGAAATCTTCCTGGGGGTAAAGGGTGGCTGGCGCATAAGGCTGTCAACCTCACTGCCATCTGTGAGGCGACTGTCTAGAAAATGTGGGAGCCTCAACATCTCACAACCCTATGGACCTCAACAGCCTGTTACAGGGATAGCTTTACTTAACCTCACCGTTATCTGTGAGCCGACTGTCTAGAAAATGTGGGAGCCTCGACGTCTCACAACCCTACAGACCTCAACAGCCTGTTACAGGGAGAGCTTTACTTTTTTGTACTCTGTAACGGACTTGAACTGTAGAAGTTATTTATTTTTATTTTATCTGTTTCTGACTTGGCAGCTGCTATGGAAACAGAAACAGAAACAGAAATGTAATTACATGTTAAATAACAAAGGAGTATGGAGAGGGTTAAACTGCAATGGTGATATAACATCAGTTGAAGGATGAGTATGAATGATGAAACAGCAAGGAAGAATTCGTGGCCTGTTTCAAGGTATTATCCCTCTGCTGGTCCATAGAAACTGAAAACCAACTTCTTACGGTTGAGGGGAGGTTCATATTGTCTATATGTATCATCATCTGCTTCAAAATCTGCCATCATCATGAGGCAACCACAATTACCTTTACTTTCTACATGTCTCCTTATTTAGTTACAAGATACCAATTCTATTTCAAATGCAAATAAAGCCTGGAAGGCCATACCTGTCCTGATATGGAGAAGCAGATGAGAAGGATCACTCTTAGGGGCCACTTTGCTTTGTATGTACGATGGGACCAGAGGCGGTGAACACCACCTGCCACCCCGAACCCTCCAGCCAGATACAGAAAGTAACCTGTAGCACATAAACATTAGTTTCAATTATTTTAGCACTCAGAAGCCTGAATGGAGGACAGAAAGCGGGAGGGGTAGCTCACAATTGTTATGGGGTGTAACCGCTCACTTCCTTTGTGCCCTTTTTACGTTGTGCGCCACTTTCTCTCCGCTCACTTCTGTGGGTTCTTTTTGGTAGTCGGTGGAGTTGAGTTCCTATCCCAGGGTCTTATAAGGGTCTGGCTCGGACAGGGCAGGAGGAACCCTTCACTACAATTTCACACACACACACTCTACAACCGTTGCACTTAATGGTCCTTTAATCCCTTCCAGCTTTCTGAATACAACTGAATTTCTTAATACTATTGAATTGAACTGTACTTATACTATTTTACGGAAGGGCCGTAGTGGTAAATTTAGTGTCCGACTTTGCCGAAAGTAGTGTCAAGACTCTCCGAGGTGGAATGCCCTCTCTCTGAATTCTGAGGTCCACGAACCCCAGACTCCAAGAGAAATCCACTCCTCCACTTCTGCCATTGGTTAATTCTTTTAAACTAGGAGGTTCCCTAAATTTTGAATTCCCAATCATGTTGCTCTGCTATGTGATTCTGGCAGATGCTGACCTGACGCTAAGGATGACAGCCCCTTGATGCATTACAGTCAGGGTGTGAGGCTCCGGCCGTCCCACTTCTAAGTTATCGCTGTCCCAAGCTGTCAGCTCTCATTTTCTCAAAGCCTTTCCGACGTTGCTGAAACTGCCAGAATTCCAGGAAAGTACCAGATGTTACTTCCTGTTCACATAGCAAAACTTGAACTATGTCCCTTCCGCGTGTAAGAGCTGGCTATCTGCCGGATCTCTTTGTTTGTAATTTAGTAATCTTAATCTAATACCTGTTTAATTTATGCACAACAGTTCTCCAATCAAATGAACGGTTACAGGGGTCATTGATACAAGGGAGAGTCAGTAAATAGGTCAAAAATGGATATAAGAACATTTATTTCTCGACATATCCTCAAACAACATTGATATTGTAATGTGGATGGCGCAACAGGAAGTAGGCGACAGGTGAACTCAGCGTTTCCGCGAGTGACGTCACATACCCCCACTCCTTCCATCATTACGCAACGTTCGGTATACACCCCTCACCGCTAGGTTGTAACGTCACGCATCAGGAAAGGCCGCGCTGCGACTGTTGCTAGGCAATCGGTAAACCCGACGTCACGCAACAGTGGTAGCTATCACGCAACTGTTTTCTGTGTGGTCAGTGCGGAAGCTAGATAACGAGGAGTATTCTTCAGGGCCAGCAGAATATATAAAAGACCCGTCCACTCGTCAGAGAGGGCACCCCACAAAAACAAGACCGTAAATGTCAAACAGTAAGAAATATCTGGGACTCGACACCAAGACTTACTGACTGACCAACCGTCAGTCGCAATGTGACTTTGACTTGAATGAGGGGAAGTCTAGCAGTCGCCGAGTGCAGTTGCGCATTAGCAGTCGGCCTCAGCCTTCGAAGAGATGAGGTAAAGTCCAGCAGCCACGCGTTGTTATTGAGTTGTATCGAGTGAATGGAAGTGCCTACAGCAGGATAAGTAATTGTGATACTGCAGATGGCAGTACTTGTGAAATTGTGAATTGTGTATTTGTAAGAGTGAATATGGAATAAATTCGCTAGATCCAAGACGGCGTGAAGTTATTTGTCGCGTCACATACCCAACACGTGACAATATATTTGTCCCATCTCTTTACCAGTGCTCTGAAATCCGCAGCACAGAAGTCTTTTAACTGTTGTCTCAGCCAATTCCGCGCCTTCGTTTCATCATCTGCGATTTTAAAACGTCCTTGAGAGAATCTTTCGGCCCAGCTATAAACCGCTTTACGCGAAGAACACTTCCCACCATAAACAGGAAACATTTCTTTACGAAAGTCCTTTGACTTGAGTCCTTTTGCCAACAAAAACGCAAAACCGAACGCTGCTCCTCGGCAGTATATTCTTCAAGCACAGTCGCCGTTTTGACTACTGCATCCAGCCTCTGAGCATGCGCATGCGCATTTGCTACCTGCACTGTCCTGAAGCTGGATTGTACTGCTACTTAATTATGGACACAGAAAACCCTATTACATCCATTACAGCTGTTTTAATCCCATTTGTGACCTATTTATTGACTCTCCCTCATAGAAAATTTCCACATTCTGCCCACATGGTGTATTTTTGTGTTCTGTATGGTTCTCACAATAAATGGCCACTGTTTTCCCAAACAACGTTAACCGGTTGGGCTTTGTAGCGGAGACGTAATGTGTTTCCTGCGAGGTACGACCTAGAGTTGTATATATTACAGAACTCTGCATTCTGCCCACACAGTGCATTATGTGTTCCGTATGGTTCTCAGAATAAACAGCAATTGTTTCCCTAAACAGCATTAACCGGTTGGGCTTTGTAGCGGAGACGTAACGTGTTTTCTGTGAGGTACGGACTGAACTCTGCATTCTGCCCACATTGTGTATTTATGTGTTCCGTATGGTTCACACAATAAACAGCGATTATTTCCCTAAACAGCATTAACCGTTGGGTCTCCGTAGCGGAGACGTAATGTGTTTGCTGCGAGGTATGAACTGAATATTGCCGGTCACGGTAGCCAAGCGGTCTAAGGCATGCAATGTCTTCGCTCGCTCGGAAGCCGGAATCGTGGGTTCGAATCCTACTCAGGGCATGGATGTTTGTGTGCGTTTTTCTGTGTTTGTCTACAGGTAGAGGCCTTGCGACGAGCTCATCACTCGCCCAAGGAGTCCTACCGTATGTGTAAGATCTAGAAAAACCGAATTGAACGGAGTTCATGGAGGTAGGCCTAGGCCCACTGGGGCTGTAGTGCCAAGGAAAAAAAATGAACTAAATATTTATATGTTAATTAGAATATTTTCAGTCTTTAAAGGGTTAATTCGGGGCATCCTCCGAGCGATTCATTCCGTATAAAGTATAGAATGTGGTCACATACTTGGCAAAATATCTCACTTCCTGATGCGTTAACTGTACATTATTCTACGAAGAGTATCGAACAATACGCACATGCAAACTGATTTCATATAAGGAAGAGACTTAGCCTTGCTGGTCCAGACAGTTACAATAGACATGATACAGGCTCTCACCCCAGAGGTACGTCTGCCATCGGATCTCTGTCAGGGGCAAGGTGACCAGCGCGTAGAGGGCAAGCAGATGGAACACAAGGATCCCAATCACATTGCCCCAGATGATGGGCTGCTGCATGCCACTGGGGTCACGCGGTGTCGCCGCCATATCTCCCCGGAGACCAAATATGCTTCCCTGAGCAATCGTGAAAATTGTACAATAAGAACATCAGCCAGTATTTCGGTCTTGTGGTAACGCTCAAGACTTGTATTAAGTAGGTGCTCGGCTTGAATCTCGCCCGGACCACCAGCCGCCCTGACTGGGGTTTTCGTAATTTTCCTCATTCCCTCCACTCAGATGGAGCCGGGACAGCGCAGTCGGTATAGCGACTGGTTATGGGCTGGTCAACCGAGGGGTCGGAGTCCGAGTCCCGGTAGGGTCAAGAATTGTCTCTTCTTCACGTCGTCCAGACCGGCTCTGGGATCAAGCCAGCCTCCTGTCCAATGGGTACTTGGGGCTCTTTCCCATGGGGTAAAGCGGCTGGGGCGTGAAGCTGACCACACCTCCAGCTAATACCAAGGTCAAGAAAATAGGGATCTATACATCCACTCCCCCATAAGGTCTTCATGTTGTAATGCTTAATTAGTTTAGTACAGGGACAACTTTACCTTTACGCTTTAATATTCATCAATTGTCCCACATTTTGACGACATACTTGTAGTCTCAGATACTGACAACGTTGAGAAATAATCATAAATAAAACGCAGTAATATTAATCCATGACAGACTTACTGTAATCCCTTGAAAATCTGAGATTTATTTAACTGGTATACCTAAATGGATTTCTTGCGCCTATGGAACCAGCAGGTTGGTTACCACATTCATATAGGTCCAGTGGATCCAATAAGAATGAGTTCTATCCAGTACACATACTTATAAGCTACTTCTCTAGGCCCCAGTTTAATAATATCCTCGCATCTAATCCTAAGTCTTCTAAACGGTCTCTTCCTTTAATTTACTCCGGTACAAATTTTATATAAATTTATAATTTCCTCATGTGTGCTGTATGTCCCGCCTAGCATATTCTTTGTTGCACGTAGCAGCGAAAACATTTAAAAAAAGCGTCTAACAATTTCACCAGGTCTCTCTGTCTGTCTACCCACATGCGACAATTCGAGAACTGATGAATGGATTTCAATAAAAATTTATATTTGTAGTTTTACTCAAATCTGTCGATAAATTCTACTTACACTTGGAATCGGACAAGAATAAAGCACACCTACATGCGTTTCTGTTCGTGTCTCGAGGGCCTGGTCATGTAGGATTTGTGGTGGACAAAGTGGCGCTGGGGCAGGTTTTCTCCGGGTACTTCGGTTTCCCTTGCCAATCTTCATTCTACCAAATTCTCCATTATCATAATCACCCGGGGCAGGCTACAATAGGCCAATCAGTGGCCGCCGTGCCGAGTGGACCCAGTTGGACTCCATCCCCCACTAAGCGAATTTAAAAATAATATATACATACACCTTCCGCACATGTATAATGAGGTTAAACATAAATCTGCTTTGCTTACTTTCCGACCCTGAGGCTGGAAGCATATATTCCCCCGAAACACTACACGTCGTCACACCACAGAATCAAGTACTCTTACCTTGACCTGAGTACTTGCTGGACACTCACGCGATCGTGGCTGCTTCCGGCTGCTGCTCCTGTCCACTGATCTCATGCAACAGCCTCATTAATTCTGCCTCCGGAAGGAATTTGACCAGAACCGGGATCTATAGTAAGAGGCTCTGAATACTTGGGGTCATTTCTCTTTGCCTCACTGCGGCCAGTCAAGGTTCAAATCCGCCTGACCTTCTTGGCTCAAAGGTTAACAGTTTTCATGCAGTTCACCAGTTTCGGGCTTATCACAATGGCTTCTTTGAAAGGAAGCAGTCTTTCAGTTTGTCACGAAATTTCTTACATAAAACGCGAATGTTCATTACCGTATCCACAAAAACTCCTCACTGGATCCTTTTTTTTTTCTTGGCACTACAGCCCCAGTGGGCCTAGCCTACCTCCATGAACTCCGTTCACTTCGGTTTTTCTAGATCGTACACATACGGTAGGACTCCTTGGGCTAGTGATCAGCTCGTCGCAAGGCCTCTCTACCTGTAGACAAACACAGAAAAACGCACACAAACATCCATGCCCTGAGTAGGATTCGAACCCACTATCCCGGCTTCCGAGCGAGCGAAGACAGTGCATGCGGATCCTATCTTAGGCCAGCTTAATTCGGCCAGTCTGTCATAAATCTGTTTTATTATTATCCTTTCATCTTTCATTATGTCTCATAAGTTGTCACTTCCCGAAGGTACACATGAAAATAATTGAGCCATACAAAGTTGTATTCTAGCATCCTGTTGTACGCTGTTTATTAATTAACAAATGCCTCTGACATTCCGCCCCCCAATGCAGCAACACTCCTTTAAAATTTGTTTATAGTTACAACATATACATAATGAGTCTTTTAAACGTATTTAAAATCATATTGTACACTACCTGTTTCGACCGTCATTGGTCATCATCAGGTGTTTTAAAACTGTTTGTGGAGACTTCTATGCTTGCGATTTGCACTTCTAATATTCGATGTGTAGTTCCATCACACATTCATGTTTTTTGTTATGCTGGGTGTTTCCTCCTGTGTTGTGTGTGTTTTCTTATTCCAGCCCACTTATGCATAAGAATACGTCTCCTTTTTTTTCTCCTTGGCACTACAGCCCCAATGGGCCTAGGCCTACCTCTATGAACTGCTCCGTTCATTTCGATTTTTCTAGATCTTACACATTCGGTAGGACTCCTTGGGCGGGTGATCAGCTCGTGGCAAGGCCTCTACCTGTACACAAACACAGAAAAACGCACACACACAAACTAAACATCCATGCCCTGAGTGGGATTCGAACCCACGATCCCGGTTTCCAAGCGAGCGAAGACAGTACATGCCAGAATACGTCTCTATATAAGTAAATATTTTTTAGAAAACAACAAGAATTTTAAAATACGTTTTATTAAGTTAGATAAGTATTTCAATATACTTAAAACATTTAAATATTATAATCCTAGGTAAAAGAACTCCTACAAGGTAAGACTAATAGCATGGCCGCGCCATAGCTCAAGCGGTTAGTCGCTGGCTTCTTACCGCGGCGGCCCGGGTTCGATCACGGGCCTGGTTAAATGGGATTTGTGGTGGACAAATTGGCACTGGGGCAGGTTTTCTCCGAGGACTTCGGTTTCCCTTGCCAATCTTCATTCCACCCATTGCTCCACCATCACCCTCACCTGTCATTTGGGGCTGATACAATAGGCCAGAAGTGGCAGCAGTACAAGGGACTTAGTCCCACCCCACTAGAATTAAAAAAAAAATACTAATAGTAATGGAACCATTGCAACACGCAGTTCAGTAATGAACACCGATGAGTTTTACTGCTTATGTAACGCCTGATAATCGTCGTAAATGACTGAAACGTGTAGCACGAAATAACATTTTAATAAACGTACTGATTTGTCGATATCCCAGGCTATCGTTTACTCCATGGACGTGTAGAATTGTGATCGACGAAAACCTACATAGCACTGTGCTTGTGAAATCTGTTGCTGAGGTAGATCATAAATACCACGTACAAATATGTCTTATATATGAGATATCAGATGCGGTGTTACGGAGTCGATTAATCTGGCTCAGAATAGGGACCAGTGAAGGGTTGCTTTGTAACCACGGTAGCGAGCCTTCGGCTTCCTTAAAATTTTCGGCAATTCTTGAGTAGTTCGGCCACTGTTGGCTTCTCTCGGAAATCGGTTTCGTGGAGTTAGTTAGATGTATAAAAACACGGCAATGATGCGACTCTGAAGTCACGTCAGACAAATTTCTTAGGGAATTGTGTCCCTGACTCTTGGTATTTAAAACCATTTTACTAACCCCGTTCGACAGATGAGAGAAACGGAATATCTGATGGAATGAAACTGAAAGTACCCTAAGAAAACGTGTCCTAGTGATATTTTGTCCTTAGAAAGTCCCACATGAATTGACCTGGCACTGAATCCGGGCCGCCGGAGTTTTGACACGGCCGAATCTGCACACTAGCAGAAAGTTTTTTTTTAATTCGCTTAATTGGCGGGGGGGGGGGGGGACTTNGAAGTCCTACTGCGTCCACTCGGCACGGCGGCCACTGACTGGCCTATTGTAGCCTGCCTCGGGTGATTATGAAGATTGAGAATTTGGTGGAATGAAGAGTGGCAGGGGAAACCGAAGTACTCGGAGAAAACCCGCCCCAGCGCCACTTTGTCCACCAAAAATTCCACTTGACCAGACCCGGGATGGAACCCGGGCCGCCTCGGTGGGAAGTCAGCGACTAACCGCTTGAGCTATGGCGCGGCCCTAGCAGCAAGTAAGTTAGTTAGTTAGTTAGTTAGTTATTGGAGAGGGTGGGTTTCCCCATGCTCTTAGACCTGTATTGGTCCATTGTGCTTCCTTCTATGATTTCTACCAGTCTCTATATCCTACCGGTACTGGTGCTTACCATCAGTCCCGCCCAGCCAGCGAGACCGGCTCTACTAGCTGAGAGGTATCTATAATGCTTCCCCCCTCTACCAGAGGTATTAGAGACTGCTGTTGGGCGGGAAACGTTCGTAAATTTGGCTCAGTGACCTCCTTTGGAGATACGAGGTTCTTTTACGTGCCGTAAAGCTACGACACGGGACCCACGGCTTAAAGTCCCTCCCGGAGGACTTGTTCCTTGAATTTTTCCGCCCTTAAAAATTCGACGACATCCGCCGGGTATTTGAACCCGCGTACTACGAGTCATGAGGTGGGAACGTTACCTCCAGACTACGGAGGCCGCTTAGCAGCAAGTTACTAGCGTAAATAACATCAACAGATCTGCTGGAATGGTAATTTAGGTGGCCTAGAATGGCCGCGCCATAGCTCAAGCGGTTAGTGGCTGACTTCCCACCGAGGCGGCCCGGGTTCCATCCCGGGTCTGGTCAAGTGGAATTTGTGGTGGACAAAGTGGCGCTGGGGCACGTTTTCTCAAAGTACTTCAGTTTTCTCTGCCAATCTTCATTCCACCAATTGTTATACAATCACCCTCACCTATCATCTGGGGCTGATACAATAGGCCAGAAGTGGCCGTAGTACAAGAGACTTAGTCTCACCCCACTAGCAATAAAAAAATAAAAATAATAGGTGGCCTGCAAATCCTTGTTTGTAATGGTAATGTTCGGACCACTGAACCACAGCTGATGTAGTTGATGCTGCCAAGGTGACTCCTCCTGTCAACAGCCTGTGCAGATGGAAGCGGGTTCAGACAAGTTTTCCAGACTGAGTTTCCGTTGGAAGCGCGTCTCGGTTTACCGCTAGATTCACTTCAGGGACATATAAAGAAGCAGTGAGGGAGTGTGTCTGTGTGTGTAATCTGCAAGGCCACTTCCATGTTAACACCAAACAACATTTTCTTTTCAACATTTCTTCTGAATCATATCAGTGTTTATGTTCCGGTGATTTATAATCTGGCGACCCTACTCTGGTTCTTAACCTCTGTCATACCATCATATATACAAAATCGGAGTCCAGAGAAGAACCCGCCCGAATGCGGTGTCGAACAATGAAGTTGTTGTTTTATATATAAACCGATCACGTGATGTAAATTCATTTTTTTTTTCAGTTATTCCTGATATGCATCGTCTTGACTTCTCAAGATGTCAGTTGTGAGTCAAGGTGCCCTTGAAGTTCGAATAACTGCTATGGCAGTGGGGTTCAGTTTCGCATTTCGAAGGTACCGCGTTCAAACCTTTGTCAGCGAAAAGACAGTTCCTGCTCAGGTTTTCTTCCCCTGGTGGTTCCTTGCGTATCCCTACCGATTCATGATATCCCCTAAGTATTCAAAGTTACAAAGTAATACAGCGTCACTGCAAAACCCGAGAAACCAAACTGTACTATGGTATATGATTTGTAAAATGTAGTCGCAAGTTGTAAAAGCGTCTAGCAAATATGATTTTCAATCCAAACCCCGTCTATAGCCACGCTTGTGTGATAATATATTACAGTAGACGGTACGCATAGTTACCACTATCCTTTAAAAGTTCAAAAGGCGTACATGTACACATACAGAGGCCACGAGTGTTGCTCTGAGCCACCTTCGACGGCGTCAGGAAGTCATTATGAATACCGATGGGGCTGAAGTGACCGTATCACTGTAGAGTCGTATCCAGGAGGCGCTCGGATCGAATCTGGGATCGCACTTCGGCGATATACAGCCCCTCTACTGACAGGGCAATAAATTTCCCCCCCCCCCCAGAACATTTCAAATTAGAGAGGTTAGTAACTGCACGGTCTATCTTCACGGTAAAAGCGTGAATCAAGCCGAGAGTACACAGTAAGGGTAGGAGGGGGTTAGGACCGAGGAAGCGGCAGGTTTCTTCGAAACGTCAGTATCAGTCTAGCAGACCGCACGGTTTCATAACCAAAGAGGCAATAAACTGAATCGTGGAATAAATTTTAATGTTTATTACATAACATACATATACAGAACGCCATACAAGCCAGAATGTCGCGGGTTCGATTCCGGATGTGGGTCATTGGATTTTTCAACTGACCTAATCCTTCCAGGCGCATTATGGCCCTGGGGCCGGCGCGTAAGGCTGACAAGCTCATTGCCATGTGTGAACCGATTATGGGCATCTACAGCCTGTTATAAAGATAGCTTTACTTTTTTAACACCCACAC